GGCAGCTGGGCCGGGGCTGACGCAAGGCCTGGCAGGGGACCCCAGGAAGCCCATCCCGGGGTGGGGACATGCGCTCCCCGTCCCCCTGCCACCTCCCACCGCGGGGGTCACCCCCGGGCTCCGCTGAGAGCCGGCACCCTGGGTGCTGCGGCCGGGGGATGCTCGGGGCTTCACCCAGGGGTGGCCTGGGAGCTGCTGGGGTGAGCGTGGGAGTCCCCGATCCTGCTCCCTGCCCTGAAACCCTGCCCTGGCCCTGGGGGGGCTGCGCTGTGACGGGTGACCGTGGGGGGCTGCGCTGTGACGGGTGACCGTGGGCACTGGGCTGTGACGGGTGACCATGGGGGGCTGGGATGTGACGGGTGACCACGGGGGACTGGGGTGTGATGGGTGACCGTGGGCACCAGGCTGTGATGGGTGACGATGGGGGGCCGGGCTGTGACGGGTGACGAAGCTGCGAGGGTGCGGCTCTGGGCCCCGTGCAGGTGACAGCTCGCGGCAGCGCCATGCCGAATTGGGACGCTCCTGGCACGTGACCCCGTGGGTCCTGCGGGACGACCGGACGCTCAGCCTGGCAGAGGCGACCCAGGTGAGCCCCCACCCGTGTCCCTGGGGTGCCCGCGCCACGTAGGGGCTCGTGACGGTGGGGGGGGGGCACCCCGCCACCTCCCCCTGCCCCCTTCCCCGCGCGGGAAACCCGGCATCCAGGTCCCCTGGCCCCAGGTCCCTGGGGGTCTGGAGCACCCGGAGCCTCTGGGTGCCCCAGGCGCAGTGGGGAGGGGTCCCCCACCAAATCCCCCCTTCCCCCCCTCTCCTGGTGCCGGGAGGGGCTTTACTGGGCCGGGGCACCCACCCAGCGCCCGGCACTCCTCCCGGCTGGGGCGGAAGGGCCCAGCCCGCTTCGCGGCCGTTGGGAGTCTCTCCAGCGTTTCCGCCGCGCTTGCACCGGGCAGGAAGCACGGGGGGGGGGGGGGGGGGGGGCGGGCGGGCCTGCGCCAAGCCCCGCAACTTCCTCTCCGTGGGGGTGAGGACGGCGCAGAAGTCCCTGGGCAGCCGGGCGGTGGCGGCGCAGCGGCCGTGGGCGCCCTCGGGGCCGGGCCGCGTGGAGCTCTTCTCCAGCCAGGGCTCCGCCGCTCCCCCCGGG